CTACTACTGCTACAACTGCTACTACTGCTACTACTGCTACTACTGCTACTGCTACTGCTACTACTACTGCTACTGCTACTACTGCTACTGCTACTGCTACTACTACTGCTACAACTGCTACTACTGCTACTGCTACTGCTACTGCTGCTACTGCTACTGCTACTGCTACTGCTACAAATGCTACTACTGCTACTGCTACTGCTACTGCTACAAATGCTACTACTGCTACTGCTACTGCTACTGCTACAAATGCTACTGCTGCCACTACTGCTACTGCTACTGCTACTACTACAAATGCTACTACTGCTACTACTGCTACTGCTACTGATACTCACTCTACACTTACTGTATACTTACTCTATACTTACCCTACACTTACTCTACACTTACTCTACACTTACTCTACACTTACTCTACACTTACTCTATACTTACTCTACACTCACTCTACACTCACTCTACACTCACTCTACACTTACTCTATACTCACTCTACACTGACTCTACACTTACTCTACACTTACTCTATACTTACTCTACACTCACTCTACACTCACTCTACACTCACTCTACACTTACTCTATACTTACTCTACACTCACTCTACACTTACTCTACACTTACTCTACACTTACTCTACACTCACTCTACACTTACTCTACACTTACTCTACACTTACTCTACACTTACTCTACACTTACTCTATACTGACTCTACACTCACTCTACACTTACTCTATACTGACTCTATACTTACTCTACACTGACTCTACACTCACTCTACACTCACTCTACACTTACTCTATACTGACTCTACACTCACTCTACACTTACTCTATACTGACTCTATACTTACTCTACACTGACTCTACACTCACTCTACACTTACTCTATACTTACTCTACACTCACTCTACACTTACTCTACACTTACTCTACACTTACTCTACACTCACTCTACACTCACTCTACACTGACTCTACACTCACTCTACACTTACTCTATACTTACTCTACACTCACTCTACACTTACTCTACACTCACTCTACACTTACTCTATACTGGCTCTACACTCACTCTACACTTACTCTATACTTACTCTACACTTACTCTACACTCACTCTACACTTACTCTACACTCACTCTACACTTACTCTCGTTTACGCACCGAAGTTTTCCGTTCCCTTTGTCCTTGCACCAAATGGATTATGACCTGATATATGTTTTTTTGTCTTACTGTCTTGTCGTTCTCGCTGAGATGATCCTCCCTCGGGCGCAGGACGGAAATCTATAATATCTCTGCTCATTCATCTATGTGCATGTGGAGCGAGGAGGAGGAGGAGGAGGAGGAGGAGGAGGAGGAGGTGGTGGTGGTGGGGGTGGAGGAGGAGGAGGAGGAGGAAGAGGTGGGGGGGTGGAGGAGGAGGAGGAGGAGGTGGTGGTGGGAGGAGGAGGAGGAGGTGGTGGGGGGGAGGTGGTGGTGGGGGTGGAGGAGGAGGAGGAGGAGGTGGTGGTGGGGGTGGAGGAGGAGGAGGAGGAGGAGGTGGGGGGGTGGAGGAGGAGGAGGAGGAGGTGGAGGAGGAGGTGGAGGAGGAGGAGGAGGAGGAGGAGGAGGAGGTGGTGGGGGGGGTGGAGGTGGAGGAGGAGGAGGTGGTGGGGGGAGGTGGAGGATGTGATGGATGGTGCTCTGGCCTCTTGGGACCCTGGTTTTTCGTCCACACGGGACATGGTTTGTATTCGGCGTCTTTTGGATTAATATTCCCGCGGTAAACGCCCGAGAAATGCAAGAAGCTCCAAGAAGCTCCATTCCATTAAATTAAGTTTGCCAAAAACAGATCAGAAAATCAAACGGTAAACTCAGGAGCCATAAATGTTAAAAAATTTGCTTAAAAATGTCCCGGATTTGATCGTATTTTGCACAATTGCGTTTCAATAATATTTTTATTTTTTAAATTGTAGAAATGTCTTCTTGAAATGTTCTGTCCAATATTATTAATAATGTAAGAATGTCCATCTGTGTGACATGTGGTTCTCCTGCAGACGGACCAGTGACATTAATGAGCTGTGGATTTTACAGGAAGTGCTCAAAAGGAGAAAATCATGAAAAAACATATTCTGAGCCAAATCGTCCCTTTGTTTTCTGAGATGTGTTTGTCTCTCTGCTCTTGCTGGTCTCTCTTGTCTCTCTGGTCTCTCTCTGGTCTCTCTCTGGTCTCTCTCTGGTCTCTCTCTGGTCTCTCCCTGCTCTCTCTCTGGTCTCTCTCTGGTCTCTCTCTGGTCTCTCTCTGGTCTCTCTCTGGTCTCTCTCTGGTCTCTCTCTGCTCTTGCTGGTCTCTCAGGTCTCTCTCTCTCTGGTCTCTCTCTCTCTGGTCTCTCTGGTCTCTCTCTCTCTGGTCTCTCTCTCTCTGGTCTCTCTCTCTCTGGTCTCTCTGGTCTCTCTCTCTCTGGGTTCTCTCTGGTCTCTCTCTTTCTGGTCTGGTCTCTCTCTGGTCTCTCTCAGGTCTCTCTGGTCTCTCTCTGCTCTTGCTGGTCTCTCTGGTCTCTCTCTCTCTCTCTACTCTCTTTCTCTCTGCTCTCTTCTCTCATCTTGCTCCCTCTGTACCAATGGCTGTTATTATTGCATTTCTGTGTTTGATCTGATTCTGTTGTTGGCAAAAGCCTAAACACAAATTAACTGAAATGAAAAACAGTTCTTTGTCGTCTCTCGCCCAGAGCGGTCCTGCACCGTAAGCTTTTCACATTTACACCTATTTTCTGCTCATTTAGCACAAAAAAGACAGGAGCCTCCCACTTGTTGTTTCGCGGTGCTTTAGTTACGTAACTTTTCCTCAACGCGTAGAAAAAGAGAAGAAGAAAAACGATGTCTGGCCTTTCAGAATCAACCAGAGCAGCACCCACTGGTCTCCGAGCCGGTCTCTTCAGTGGGATTGCACGCCGGAGAATTAATATTGCACACGATTACACGGCACAAACTGGGGCAGCCGGAGAGGGGTGGTCCGCCAGATAAAAGACCACAAGGAGGAGGTCGGAGGAATAAAAACCTGTCCACCGTCGGTAACGAGCGAGGAGTCGATGATAGCAGCGCAGATGTTTGGGAGAAGATTGGAGCAGGTATAATTCTGTCTGTGCTTTGAGAGAGAGGAGGTGGATGGAAAAGAAAAAGGCGCCGTGGTCAGAATGGAATGTATCTCGATGTTTAAATGCGGCAGGAACGCCATTCAAACGGCGGCTTTTGGGTTTGTATCTCTCGTGCGATCGCGGCGGCGGGTAAACTGAACCGGGAGCCTCTGTCTGGGAAGAAAAAGTAAAGTTTCTTGCTCAAAATGCAAATAATAAAGTCTCCGATATGATTCAATAAACCTTTATTCCCAGGCGCAGTGGAGGGAGTTTAATGTCCAAACTTTGCTGGAGCTGAAGTTGGCTGAATGTAAAGAATGATGATTAGCTACGTGAGAGTAGGGTTTGGCTCTCTCGCCTCAGGTTACTAACAGTTGTGTGAGCACTATTTTCATTGTGTGTTTTTAATTGTGAAGTGCTTTGATCCTGATCTTAAATTATTTGTGCCTGTAAAAAATATATAAAATCCATTTTAAAACAATAATACTTCTGTTTTTAATGCATTTATTCATATTTGTCCTGATTTAATGGATACGGACAGTCAACACTCTCCCACATGTGTCGCTGTGATCGCTCGATAGTGCCATAAAAATCACCAAATGTAGTTATTGATGTTCTGGCTTTTTGTTCCTCCTCGAGTCGAGAACAGACACGGGTCCAAACAACACGCCGACCTTTCCCGCTGCTCTGAAAAGGCCTCATGAAACACAAGCTAACGCCGTCTCAAACCCGACACAAACAAACACATTTAACAATCTGAAACAGCCCGTCTGGCTCCGTCTGGCATTTACCCAGAATGCTTTGTGAATCCATGTGTTTTTCCAATACTTCCCACAATGCATTTCTCACTCACCTCTGATGTGACAGCTGCGAATCCTGCGCTTAAACACCGACATGTGTGAGCGGATTACGCCTGACTCATGGAGGCTGGACTTTTGAATGGAATCCTGGGAAAGTCTGAGACGAACCAGACCCAACTCTGCAGAGAGTTATTACGAGGCCATTGTGTTGCTGTGTTTCTCGATGTGTGCGACGGCGGCGGGACACGGCACGAACACACAAAGAACAACGAGTTTCCGGAGTAAAAAGGCAGTGAAAGTGAAAGTTACTGCTGGTTAACCAGGTGGACCTTTTGTAGTTGATGGTTTTGTCGTTGTTTTAGTTTTCTTTGTTCAGATTAATCATTTTTGTGTCAATTAACTTCAGATGGGAAGCATTTTTCACCTTTTTGAAGACGTTTTCCCAAATCTAAAGAAAATATCAGTTAATAATGTATTGTTTTTTGGCAATACCTGCAGGTGAAAGCCAGATCCCATCTCTGAAGCTCAGCAGGGTAGGGCCTGGTTAGTTTTGTGATGGGAGACCTCTGGGAACATCAGGTGACACAGTGGGGCGGCTGCGGCTGTAAAGTGCCGAACTGAGGTTGTGTCCTTTGGCAAGACACTTCCCCCATATGAGAATGAGTCTGGTGTGTGAATGGTTGGTGGTGGTGGGAGGGGCCGATGGCACAGACTGGTTGCCTCTGTCAGTGTGCCCCAGGGCAGCTGTGGCTACAGTAGCAGTTGGAGTGAAAGAATGAAAGGGAAGTGTTTTTGAGTGTCCAAAAAAACGCTATATATTGAAAGTAATTATTTAAATGATATTTTATGGGATCAATGATGGGATGTAAAACTGTTTGCAGAAAGGACCGGTGTGGCTGCTGGCTTCATTCCAACCAAGCAGGAGCACACCAGACTCCTCTCCTTTCCTCAGGCCTTCAGGTTCAGACCGGACTCATTAGAGGAAATGGGTGAAGTCTGGTTTTGCTCCTGCTTGGTTGGAATGAAAACCTGCAGCCACACCAGCCCTGTGTGTATTTACACCAGCTGATGTACGGTATATACACAGGCTTTAGTCGATCACAGCCATCACTGTGTGTGTCTGTGTGCGTGTGCAGTTTCTGTGCGTTGTTCTGCTCAGAGGCTTTGATGCAGCAGAGACACAGAGACACAGCAGATCTCAGGGCTGTGGCGGTGGTTGTGGCGGTGGCGGTGGTTGTGGTTGTGGCGGTGGTTGTGGCTGTGGTTGTGGCTGTGGCGGTGGTTGTGGTTGTGGTTGTGGTTGTGGCTGTGGTTGTGGCTGTGGTTGTGGTTGTGGTTGTGGCTGTGGTTGTGGCTGTGGTTGTGGTTGTGGCGGTGGTTGTGGCTGTGGCTGTGGTTGTGGCTGTGGTTGTGGTTGTGGCTGTGGTTGTGGTGGTGGTTGTGGCTGTGGTTGTGGTTGTGGCTGTGGCTGTGGCAGTGGTTGTGGCTGTGGCTGTGGCGGTGGTTGTGGTTGTGGCTGTGGTTGTGGCTGTGGTTGTGGTTGTGGCTGTGGTTGTGGCTGTGGCGGTGGTTGTGGCTATGGTTGTGGTTGTGGCTGTGGCTGTGGCAGTGGTTGTGGTTGTGGTTGTGGTTGTGGTTGTGGCTGTGGCTGTGGCTGTGGCAGTGGTTGTGGCTGTGGTTGTGGTTGTGGCGGTGGTTGTGGCTGTGGTTGTGGTTGTGGCTGTGGCAGTGGTTGTGGCTGTGGTTGTGGTTGTGGCTGTGGTTGTGGCTGTGGTTGTGGTTGTGGCTGTGGCTGTGGTTGTGGCTGTGGTTGTGGTTGTGGCTGTGGCGGTGGTTGTGGCTGTGGTTGTGTGGGGTGGTTGTGGTTGTGGTTGTGGCTGTGGTTGTGGCGGTGGTTGTGGTTGTGGTTGTGGCTGTGGCTGTGGTTGTGGTGTGGTTGTGGCTGTGGTTGTGGCTGTGGTTGTGGTTGTGGCTGTGGCTGTGGTTGTGGTTGTGGTTGTGGTTGTGGCTGTGGCGCTGGCTGTGGCTGTGGCTGTGGTTGTGGCGGTGGTTGTGGCGGTGGTTGTGGTTGTGGTTGTGGTTGTGGCTGTGGCAGTGGTTGTGGCTGTGGTTGTGGTTGTGGCTGTGGTTGTGGCTGTGGTTGTGGTTGTGGCTGTGGCTGTGGTTGTGGCTGTGGTTGTGGTTGTGGCTGTGGCGGTGGTTGTGGCTGTGGTTGTGGCGGTGGTTGTGGTTGTGGTTGTGGCTGTGGTTGTGGCGGTGGTTGTGGTTGTGGTTGTGGCTGTGGCTGTGGTTGTGGTTGTGGCTGTGGTTGTGGCTGTGGTTGTGGTTGTGGCTGTGGCTGTGGTTGTGGTTGTGGTTGTGGTTGTGGCTGTGGCGCTGGCTGTGGCTGTGGCTGTGGTTGTGGCGGTGGTTGTGGCGGTGGTTGTGGTTGTGGTTGTGGTTGTGGCTGTGGCTGTGGCGCTGGCTGTGGCTGTGGCTGTGGTTGTGGCGGTGGTTGTGGTTGTGGTTGTGGCTGTGGCGGTGGTTGTGGCGGTGGTTGTGGTTGTGGCTGTGGCGGTGGTTGTGGCTGTGGTTGTGGCGGTGGTTGTGGTTGTGGTTGTGGCTGTGGCTGTGGTTGTGGTTGTGGTTGTGGCTGTGGTTGTGGTTGTGGTTGTGGCTGTGGTTGTGGCGGTGGTTGTGGCTGTGGTTGTGGCTGTGGCGCTGGCTGTGGCTGTGGCTGTGGTTGTGGCGGTGGTTGTGGCGGTGGTTGTGGTTGTGGTTGTGGTTGTGGCTGTGGCGCTGGCTGTGGCTGTGGTTGTGGCGGTGGTTGTGGTTGTGGTTGTGGCTGTGGCTGTGGGGGTGGTTGTGGCGGTGGTTGTGGTTGTGGCTGTGGCGGTGGTTGTGGCGGTGGTTGTGGTTGTGGCTGTGGCGGTGGTTGTGGCGGTGGTTGTGGTTGTGGCTGTGGCGGTGGTTGTGGCGGTGGTTGTGGTTGTGGCTGTTGCGGTGGTTGTGGCTGTGGTTGTGGCGGTGGTTGTGGTTGTGGTTGTGGTTGTGGCTGTGGCGCTGGCTGTGGCTGTGGCTGTGGTTGTGGCGGTGGTTGTGGTTGTGGTTGTGGCTGTGGCTGTGGCGGTGGTTGTGGCGGTGGTTGTGGTTGTGGCTGTGGCGGTGGTTGTGGCTGTGGTTGTGGCTGTGGTTGTGGCGGTGGTTGTGGTTGTGGTTGTGGTTGTGGCTGTGGCTGTGGCGGTGGTTGTGGCGGTGGTTGTGGTTGTGGCTGTGGCGGTGGTTGTGGCGGTGGTTGTGGTTGTGGCTGTGGCTGTGGCGGTGGTTGTGGCGGTGGTTGTGGTTGTGGCTGTGGCGGTGGTTGTGGCTGTGGTTGTGGTTGTGGTTGTGGCTGTGGCTGTGGCGGTGGTTGTGGCGGTGGTTGTGGTTGTGGCTGTGGTTGTGGCTGTGGTTGTGGCTGTGGTTGTGGCTGTGGCGGTGGTTGTGGCTGTGGTTGTGGTTGTGGTTGTGGCTGTGGCTGTGGTTGTGGTTGTGGCGGTGGTTGTGGTTGTGGCGGTGAAGCAAAGGGACAGATGGAAGGACTTAGTGTTTGTGGCGATGCAAAAGTAAAGTTAAAAACCTGCAGGATGTGACTGTGGCTTCAGGTTTCTTGTAAATGATTGTGTTGTTGTCAATTCCTGGTGTGTGGTGCTTTCTGCCGTTTGCGTGTCCGCCCACTCGCTGCTCTCGTTAGGCAGCGACAGGCTCCGAGCGCCTCGAGGAACAAAAGACAAGATGGACACAGCTTCACAAACAACATGTCCAAAAGTATGAGCAATAATAATACTGTGTACTGCAAAAATGTTTGGACAACACCCACATGTACGTGTCATCGTTGTGTCACAAATGTATATGATTTCACATTCTAAAACATTACATGAAACAATAAAAACTCAGTTTGTTTGAATGAACAAATACAACGTTTTTTTAGGGAAACATCTATAATTTTAGGAAGTCCAAAGCTTTCCCGTGGACACAGGTGACGGGGACGAAGGGTCCTGGACCAACCATGGACCATGACTGTCGCCCCCTGCAGGAGAGCAGCTTCAGTGACAGACTGATCCACCCTCGCTGTGTGAAGGAGAGCTTACATAGGTCTGTTTTTAGAAAAAATATCTTGTTAATTGCTCATGGACAAAGTTTTGCTCCAGCTCCTGTTGACACTCAGCATGTCAGCATGTTTTGATTTTGATATCATCTTTGTAAATCCTGGTATGAGGCATTATGCAAAATGACGTCAGCATACTGTTGTAACGACAAGCTCAGTTTGAACATGATTAGAGTAAAAGGGGTGACGACGGGACGCCTGCAGGTCTGCCGTCTCTGGTCATGTCTAACATGGGTCTTAAAAACAGTCTTTCCTTCATGTGGCTCCTTCAAATATAAACTATTCCTGAATGTGTGAGATCTTAAACTAGTCAATGTGGTTTTGAAAGATGCCAGATTTATAATTGGCACTAATCTCCGGAAGTGATTGGCCCAGTCATCGGCAGGAGGAGGTCGGGAACGATGGAGAAAGTGTGTGTTAAATGAGAGCAGCTGCGTTCAGGAAACAGCGGAGTGACCCGTTTGTGACGTAGAACCAGTCTTTTCACACGGATCCGGAACACGGAGCAGAGCGAAGAATGGAACTACAGCGTGTTTATAGATATAGATATATTATATCGCTCCAGCCGAGAACATTTGTGCCAACGGTTCATTTCAATCACGATAATAAAACCCCGCACATGGGTCGGTGAAAGCTGCTGTTGTCATTATCACAGTATTCAGAGGCTCCCAACCTTTGAGATTGCATCAGATTTTTCATTTCTATATTAAATTATTCAGACATTTAGACCAAATTATTATTTCAAGTTTTAGATTTTTGTACAAAAAATTAGGACCAAAGCAAAACTGGTCCAAAAGTATGAAAATATATACTTTTTAAATCACAATGAACTCATATTTAATTTGAATGTTCAATGTTCATAATAAAACAAATGTTTTCTGAAGAGAATAATCCTTAAAGTGTAACATGTTCATTCACCACATCTGTTTCGTTGCATTTCAGTTGTTTTCAAAGTGTTTCTTCCACTTATGTCCAATTATTTGTTTATATCCATTATTTATTCATTTATAACCTCTCCTCCCGAACAGCTTTGATTACATCTGTGATGTAGAACCCGAGTCTGTGTCGGCGCCTCCCGCTGGGGCTGGATGTATATTTAATTCTGTTTTGGAGCCGCAGAGGTGCATTAACCTGTGGCTGCGGCGGAGCTATATTTATGGTCTTTCAGTCGCTACTAGTTGCTTCTTTAAAACATATTGATATTTTGTTGCATAAGAAAAACTCTTATTGCTCCTGTTTTATTCAGTCTACTACTAAATAAACTATTTTAGCGAAATAATATCACACAAAGCAATTCCAAGTTTATTTTACAGTTCATAGAGCAGGCGTAAGGGGTGCCCCAAGGGTCGTTCATTGGTCCACTTGTGTTTGTGCTCTGGCTGGGGAAATTATTGCATTCATCTTTTGCATTAATTTTATTTAAATTATTTAATCGTTTTAAAATAAACCGACTGATCTATTACTAAAACAAGATTTGCCTATGGGAAAAGCCAAATTATCTTGTTTAAAAAGATTCCCGTTGGAGAATCTTGTTTAAGTCCGTCAGAATGTGTCAGATTAAGATAAAAACCACTTTATTGAAGCTTTTATTACCTCATATTTGATCATTTTTTGCAGTGAAATAACCGCATGATGTTGTGAATCAGTCCATTAGGAGAATAATTCATCCATAACCCTGTCTCTTCTCATGATTTAAGCTTGTGTTAAACATTTACAGTTTGGCACTTAGCGACTGATAAATTGTATATTTGTTGTTCATAATCACTACCCCGGGGTTTTATGAGGTTTTCCTGCCAGCAAAGTTTCTTCCCAATTTTAGCAGCTTCCCCAAAGACGTCTTCAAAACAAGGATTTATATGAGAGGAACTTACCCAGCGTGACGGTCTGCCAGCTGGACCACTTTAATTCCTGCTGAAGCCTAATCAGTTGTAGCGCTGTGCTGTGGTCCCGGCAGGAGCAGCGGGGGGCGCCTCTGACAGTGATTAACCCCCTGTTTAGCTCACTTTTCCCCCCTTTGTGCTGTGACGCAAGAGGAGCTGGCGTTGGAACAGCCTGGAGTCTGATAATCTCCCAACCACAACTGGACTAAAGGCTTCACAAATCTGGGGCATAAGTTCATGTAAAAGAGAATGTAATTGGAGCTGGAAGAGAACAAGGGGTTCCCCAGGGGTTCCCCAGGGGTCAGCCCTTGGACCGCTCTTTTGACAATATGCCCATCATGATTTGACTTAGCTTGACTTACCACACTGTCTAATGTAGGGTCTTAATTAAAAATAAAAAAAAAGGCTCTTATGTAACAAGGAAGAGCTGTCTTCAAACCAAATGAATAATCAAGGTCTAGTTTAAAGCAAGGAAGGTGAGTGGTGCAGAGGGTACGAGAGGTAGAGGGCTTAACACACGTGCTCTTTAAAGACCCGGCATTCTGCAGATTTAGGATGTCAAAAAGAGAAAAAGAAGTCTGAAAAGATAAAAGTCCTTTATTAAAATGGACTGCCAAAGTCACTTTAGCTTTATAAGAGAATACATTCATCAAACTGAAAACTATTAAAACTGTTTTTCAAATGCAGATTTTTTAGCATTAGTCACTTACTCTTTTTGTCAGGACAAACACAATGTATTTTATTTTAAACGTATAAAGAGTGATAAACAGAATATGGACTAGTTTCTGATTGGAGAAGTTGAATGGGTTGTTTAAGGTTGTATTCAGACCTGCACTTTTAGTCCACTTTAAACGGACCAGGATTTGTTTGGAACTCTGGTCCGGACCTTTTATGCAGGTCTGAATACACACAAACAAATCCTGGTCCGGACCAAAGAAACGAACCTAGACCCACTTTTTTAGGTGGTCTCGGTCCGCTTCCAAACGAACTCTGGTCCGAGTCGATTCAGGTCTGAATACATCCTAAGTCACCTGCATTAGGACTAAAAACCTGCACTACTATTGACACTGTTTCTGATTGACACTTTTTATTGTACATAATATATCCTGCATCTTTTTGCACAGTCTGAGTGATTCTGTCCATGATGTGACATTTCTCCATCAGAGATCAAGAAACTCTATCTTATCTCATCTGTTAAACGTGATGATGGAAACTGTACCTGTGCTCCGTCGTTTAGTCCGTGTGTCTGTTTGAGCGATCATTCCAAATATCCCACAGATAAAGAGCCCTTGTGTGAGGTGTTTACATTGGGGGTGGCAGTGGGAAAACACAGTGTCATCGGTGAATAATAATATTGTAAAAACTGGCAGTGGGAGCGAGGTGTTGGGGAGAAGCCAACGGCGACGGCCCAAATGGACAGAACCAAGACGATAGTAGTTCAGACGCTCACAGCTTCATGTGTTCTATCAATTCTATCAAATTCTGACTTTGACAAAAACCTTTTCAGCTCAGTTAGAATCTCTGCACATAATGAAATGATAGATTTATCGTTGGCCTTGCAGTTCCTTGTGTGAAAGCCACAGGAGAGAAAGAATAGTGAAAGAGCAGTCTGGATATTTTTCTCATCAATTTTAATGTTTGCATAGTTTTGAAAATGAACTTGAACTTTCTGAATGAGTGGGAGGTTTGTATTTAACATCTGTGGATCTAAACGAACCAACTGTGCACTTTTCTGCATAATTCACAAGATTAGATTAGAAAAACTTACATAAGGTTTTCATTTCATTCTCTGGCAGGAAGCTTCAACTTGTCCTGGGTCTACAGTCTCAGTCCTGGGTCTACAGTCTCAGTCCTGGGTCTACAGCCTCAGTCCTGGGTCTACAGCCTCAGTCCTGGGTCTACAGCCTCAGTCCTGGGTCTACAGCCTCAGTCCTGGGTCTACAGCCTCAGTCCTGGATCTACAGCATCAGTCCTGGGTCTACAGCATCAGTCCTGGGTCTACAGTCTCAGTCCTGGGTCTACAGCCTCAGTCCTGGGTTTACAGTCTCAGTCCTGGGTCTACAGCCTCAGTCCTGGGTTTACAGTCTCAGTCCTGGGTCTACAGCCTCAGTCCTGGGTCTACAGCCTCAGTCCTGGATCCACAGCCTCAGTCCTGGGTCTACACATTCTCAGTCCTGGGTCTACAGTCTCAGTCCTGGGTCTACAGCCTCAGTCCTGGGTTTACAGTCTCAGTCCTGGGTCTACAGCCTCAGTCCTGGGTCTACAGCCTCAGTCCTGGGTCTACAGCCTCAGTCCTGGGTCTACAGCCTCAGTCCTGGGTCTACAGTCTCAGTCCTGGGTCTACAGCCTCAGTCCTGGATCCACAGCCTCAGTCCTGGGTCTACACATTCTCAGTCCTGGGTCTACAGCCTCAGTCCTGGGTCTACAGCCTCAGTCCTGGGTCTACAGCATCAGTCCTGGGTCTACAGTCTCAGTCCTGGGTCTACAGCCTCAGTCCTGGGTTTACAGTCTCAGTCCTGGGTCTACAGCCTCAGTCCTGGGTTTACAGTCTCAGTCCTGGGTCTACAGCCTCAGTCCTGGAT